GGGTGGGTGGGTGGGTTGGTGGGTGGGTGGGTGCGGGTGTGTTTTGGTTTAAATTTGTGATGCGGTGATGCTGAGAAGCAGAAGGCACTTACACCGTGTGTGTGTGTGTTTGTCTGTGGGTGGGTGGGTGGGTGGATGGGTCTGTGTGTGTGTGGTGTATATTTGTGATGCGGTGATGCTGAGAAGCAGAAGGCGCTTACGTCGGCAGAAGAGGCAGAGAAGGTAACGGGCAATAATCGGTCTAGTAATGAGATTGGCAGTTTGAGGACTGGCCTGATGGAATGCAAGGAGGCTAAGGCTCATTTCCTGAAAGTTTACCGCAGCCGTGAAGTCGGGCAGTCTTATTTCACCTCCGTTGGCTCAACTCTCTTAGCTTGTGCACATGCGGCCTACCTTGTCTTCCGAGTCCGTCCTGATGTGGTGAGTTCTTCTTTTGCAGCTATGGTCATGTGCTCCTTCCCCCCCCCTCCCTTCCTCTTCCTGCTCTGTTTTCATTATCTTTTGTTGTTCATCTTCTTTGGTTTCGTATTCACTCTCTCTCCGTCGACTCTCACCTTCTCGCTTCATAACGGTAAAATTTCTGATAGCCTCTTCACATAGCGCTTGGTGTCCTCACAGCGATTTGCCTTGCCCTTTACCATTTTCACAATGATCATCTCTGTTACTTACTTGAGGGTTTTCTTGCAGGCGGGGGGGAGGGAGAGGGAGAGGGAGAAGGGCAGAGGAGTTGCAGGAGGTTAAGGTATGTGAGGATGGTAGAAATAGGACCGAAGGGGTCAGGGGGAAAATGAATGAGGGTATCGTCACGCTGCTGTCGAAACGGAAAAAAAAACACGAGTGCATCCTTCCGCAGAGAATGACAAGATGCATGCATCCGTTACTATGAATAGCAACGGGTGCATCTTACCACTTTCTGAGGAAGATGCATTTGTTCTTTTTTCGTTTAGACTTCCCGCAGAGAATGACAAGATGCATGTATCCATTACTATGAATAGCAACAGGTGCATCTTACCATTTTCTGAGGAAGACGCATTCGTTCCTTCTTTGCGATTCACTGTTATTTAGTCCTCTCCGGCTTTTCCCTGCATTTTCTGGTGGGGGTTGTTTCGATTGCCGGAAAAGGAAAGAACCTTGTGAAGGAGGACGTCGATTGCCGGAAAAGGAAGAACCTTGTGTGAAGGAGGACGGACGTCAATCACGGTACCACTGTAATACCACTGTAAAGTAATGCCGACGATGGACGATGGGGTACACTACACTGGACATACGAGAAGAGAATGGAAAACACAGAGGAAAACAAAAAAAAACCTGAAATACCTGAGCAAGGAATGTTGGATGTGTTTGTCTATGGTTGCCTAAAGCTGGGGATCGGGTGAAGAGAGCGATGATGATCTATCTATTGATAACACACCCTCGAACAAACAAAACAGTTGGGCGAGTGAGAGCAGAAGGATGCTGACGTCGTTCGTCTCTTTGGCTTGGTCGCTGCATTTCTGTGGTGCCGCCGCAGAGCGGCGATAAGGCCAATCTTGGCTCTGTTTTGCCCCTGGATGTCTTGTTGCCAAATGGGTGAGGAAAGGCGAAGCTGAGCTCTCTCTTGTTCCTTGGGTTTAGGGTTTCTCACATCAGAAATGAATGATAATCAGGGGTAGTCATGCCAGATTGTGTGTCGGGCTTCAGTGCCTTCTGCTGCTGCTTCGCGCTGTGTCTTGCTGGTACTGTTACGACCGCTGCTACTGCGGCATACTGCTATCGTCTTCCCCTGAACATAACGCATGTCCGTTGTATTCGAGATGAACAACATAATGCATGTGCGTTGTATTCGAGATGAACAACATAATGCATGTGCGTTGTATTCGAGATGAACAACATAATGCATGTGCGTTGTATTCGAGATGAACATAATGCGTGTGCGTTGTAAAAGTGGCAGTGTGAAGCCAGGACCGCAGCCAAGAAAGTGGTAGTATGAAACCAGGAGGGATTCTATGCGCCTCACTCCATCACTCACCAAGGGCTTTGCTCCGCTACTCACCACAAGCACAAACGACAAAAAACACAGTGTTGTATCTTTTCATGTTCTAGTGGAAGACTTCTCACTTTGCACACTTGGGGAGGAGTGGAGCGAGGCCCCAAGTGGGGAAAAGGAGAACGAATCTTCAGCTAGAATACGGGAAGATACAATGCCACTTTTTTTCCCTTTATCTGGGTGTGATGGTCAGTGGAATGAGGCCCTCAGCCACTGGCCAGAACTGAGCCTACTCAGCCTGGACCTAGCCGCTTATATCCGTAAACGTGTTCTTAATGGATGTGTTTCCACATATAACTTGGTACTGTTATGGACCAGAACAGATGGATGGGAGGATTAGGATGAAGAATGAGAAGGATTAGGAGAGGGGTGGGAGGAGAACCAAACAAAGGAGGGAGGAAGCACAACAAGAGGGACAGAAAGTGGAGTGCGGGAGAGGGGGGTTCCTAAGAGGGGGTCTTGTAGGACCCTTAGACTTGTTTGTACATAAGGGGGGAAATTGTGATTAAAAGTAGTGCAGTTGGAGATAGCAGGAGCCCGTCTCATATATAGGCGATCTGTGGTAAAACAGGGGAATACCCAGGTTTGGCCTTTCCTTGCATTTCTGTAGGTTATTAAATAGGTTTCATTCGTTTCATGTGGTTATTAAATAAACTTGTGCGTTTGTGTGTGCGTGCCCACAGATCGTTTGCAACGGGCCAGGAACATGCTTGCCAGTCTGCGTTGCCGGGTTTCTGCTTAAGGTGCTTGCATTCCTTCTCCACTCACTATTTTCGAACCTGCTTCCTTCTTTCCCTGCAGCGCAGTGATCCTCCTGCACTCGCTATTTGAACATGCTTGCCAGTCTGAACAGTAGGTCTGCAGTGCATACTAGAACCAATTAAACGCAACCCAACCACTAGACGTATGCACAAACACATCAAACGCACGCCCATGGCCCCATACACATCAGTGAGGATCTCGTGGCGGTAGTAGGCCTGATTTGTTTGCCGCCCTAAGGCTGTGGTTCTAGTACAGCGAGGCGTATGTCTGCTAGGTTGGCAATTTTTTTAAAACTGGTGACCGGTGGAACCGGGGTCTGTAGGGGTTGGGTTTTTGTTGGGAGCGGTGTGTTGCATTAAGTGTTTTGTCTTTTGCATAGGATCGGTGCAATTTTGTGAATGGGTTGTTCACATCAGTCCCACGCCTGAGAGCACTTCAGCCCTGCTCGCTTGCCTCCTGGACTTGAGTTTCTGTTCTGATCTCTCTCTCTCTCTCTCTCTCTCTCTCTCTCTCTCTCTCTCTCTCTCTCTCTCTCTTCTAAAACAGAGGTACATGTAAGCTGCTGCAGCAGCAGCTGAGCCTCTCTCTCTGTCTCCCCTCCCCCCCCCTCCTTCTCTCTCTCAATCTTTCTGTGTGTGGCTGCAGATGGCTGTATTCCTGCTTGGCAGCCCCCGTCTCCTCCACCATCTCGCAGCAGCAACTTTCCTTTCTTCTTCTTCTCCTTCTTCTTTTTTTGAATTTTTAGACTGCATAGCTTTCCTGATCTCGCTGCATCAGTAAATCCACTGGGGCTGTAACTCCATACTCCCAGAGAGTTCTATGCGACACCCGCCCTTCTCATTCTCATGTGCTGCCACGGTAGTGGACACTGCCTGTTCTTCTGTGTCTATGAAAATTGTAAAGATTGCACCTGGACGAATCAGAAGACGATTGGCTAAGAACTGAGGTTTCTGGACTGGAGGCGGTAGTGGACACTGCCTGTTCTTCTGYGTCTATGAAAATTGTAAAGATTGCACCTGGACGAATCAGAAGACGATTGGCTAAGAACTGAGGTTTCTGGACTGGAGGCGGTAGTGGACACTGCCTGTTCTTCTGYGTCTATGAAAATTGTAAAGATTGCACCTGGACGAATCAGAAGACGATTGGCTAAGAACTGAGGTTTCTTGACTGACTGCCTCCATTGTCGTTGGGCGAATGAGTTCAACTAACTAACTGATTATTAATTTATTACTGGTCTTGCAGTCTTCAATGCACCCCCTTACCCACACTCCCACCCCTTCGCCCCGGCTGTCGTGTTGGTGCACTTGCAGGTGACGGGGCTCCGATGGGTGACTATGATATTCGTGGAGAGCGTCTGTCGAGTGCAGAAGCTGTCTCTGACTGGCATTCTGTTTTACAAGTTCCGGCTGATGGACCAGTTTTACGTCCAGTGGGAGTCTCTTCTCCAGAAGTACCCGGGGACTATTTTTGTTGGCCGGGTAATGTGACGATATTGGCGAATGGACCATTATGTGACAATATATATCGTCAAACAGAGCTGTCCGGGAAACCGTAGGCAGAGAGGGAGGGAGAAGAGGACAACAAAGGAGGGGATGTTGTGAGAAATTGTTTCGGCGGAGTTTCACCGACTTACTCGTGGGGAGGCTGAATCGTCAAACAGAGCAGCCGGGTAAACCTTAGGCAGAGAGGCAGAAGAGGGGCATATGTTTCCTTGGTGCAAGCAGAGCCAAGTGGGGAGATTCGCCAAGTACAGTGGACACAAGGACAATATAGCCGTCTGCGGTAGCAGTGCCGGCCCCGAAGAAAGTGGGCTCAGAGCGCAACAGAACCCAGGAGAATGGGAAGGCTGAACGCTGTTGTTAATGGTATGCAGTGCTATGCACTTGCTCGCTTGCTTTGTAGAACTGTCTGCTCTGCTATGTGGAGAGAAGATGCTGTGTAGAGGTAGGCTACCGTGTGTGCTGGCTGGTACTCTGTGCAGTGGTTGCCACTATGCCAGTTGATGCCTATGTGTATTCTCTGCTATGTCGGCTGGGAGATATGCCCACCGGGGAGGGCAGACATGTGCCATTAACAGTGGGTGAAAGGCTACCATGTGTGCTGGCTGGGATAATATGTACAGTAGTTGCCACTATGCCGACCGACGGTGCTATGTGCGGTGGGTGGTGCTATGTGGGAAGGGTGATATGTCCATAGGGCAGTACTTTCGGTCAGGTGCCATTAGCAATGGGTGATAGTACTTGGGCGTGGTGCGGTGGGTTATGCGAAGATCATGAGCTGTGAGCTGGTGCTATGTGAGTTGGATGCGCTACTCCATGGGGGCTGGGCTCAGCACCACGTGCGAAAGGAAAGCAGCTGGATTTCCCCTTTGGCTGAAAGCTATACACATGTATCTGTTTGTAAACAGATCACGAGCTCAAATCCAAGTGGGATCTGCCCAAAGTACGGGGCGTTCATCCCATCCTATTGGATGGGCCATCAGCCTCTGTTGTTTCTAATGCTACTACGTATGTGGCCGAATAGAACCCACGGTCATAAATAGCTGTACTTGGGGCAAGTTTCATTGCAGACACAGCTATATTAACGGAGTTTTCCTTTGTAGATATGTCGTGTGTGTGTGTGTGTGTGTGTGTGTGTGTGTGTGTGTGTGTGTGAGAGAGAGAGAGAGAGAGAGAGAGAGAGAGAGAGAGGACAACGATGATAACAATGAAGATGAAGAAGTCGTCATCGTTGTTGTCATCGTTGTCTTGTCACTCCGTGTGTGTGTGTGTTGTGTCGACTTGTGTGTGCACTCAGTGACTTTGCATTGTTTCCCACCCCCCCCGTCTCGATGTGGGCAAGTCTGTCCACCATGTGCGGGTCATGTGCTCTTCCTTTTTTACAGGAGCCCATAAGCCTGTGGATGCTTAACCGGCCCTCTGCTGAATGGGTCAGGGTGGACACTCGTATACGACGTCATGATGAACAGTGAGGTTGGTTGGACTGGTGGTGTAAATGTAAAAGGGGCATTGGCCGTGAGGTATTGTCATCGAACTGATTGGCTCTTTCTAATTCAGAATTATGTGACATTTCTGATCTCAGCGATGGACCTGCCATTTGGCCACGCGATGAGCGCTATATCTGATGTCCTCAAGTCAGGTACCGTTGGTCCATGTGAGCTGATTTGTCTCAGGTAACTGTTTGCTAACAGTGATGTGGGTGTATGTGATTTGGCTGGGTGAGGTGGTTGTGTGACTTGTATTTTAGCCAACGGCCGCCTGATCGTGGACTCTCTGATAGAACGGATACTTACTCTGTACTCATGCGGCTTGATCTGTTCGACCGGGTCTTCTGTTGGCCATAACCTCTCTGGCCTGGTCGTGCGGTGGCGTTTCTTTCTCACCCAACCTCTCTGATCTGAACGGTCACAACCCCATAATCGGGCGTGGCAAGGGGACCTTTGCTATTTTTAATAGTAGTAGTTGTAGATATTTTGTGGGAGCAGAGCTAGGTGGCAGAAAGAATACAGTGGGCACATAAATGATAACCTTCTTGGATTGTTACTAAATTCTTTTCTGAAGTAGGAATTTTTATAATTTTCCCCTCATTTTCTATTTGCAGTAGAATTGCGGAGGTTGGAAGAGGGCAGTGACAGATGCATGGTTACAGTAAACTCTTTTGTTTCCATGCCTGCTGTACACATGCAAGTCTTTTTGAGGTGTGTGTGTGTGTGTGTGTGTGTGTGTGTGAGAGAGAGAGAGAGAGAGAGAGAGAGAGAGAGAGAGAGAGAGAGAGAGTCTTTTTGAGGTGTGTGTGTGTGTGTGTGTGTGTGTGTGTGTGTGAGAGAGAGAGAGAGAGAGAGGGATTCATTGCTCGCTCGGCCCATCGATTGTTTGCTCGCCCCATCTATTCATGCCCCATCCAGCCCTGCATTGCTCCATCCATCCTTCCATCGGGGCATCCATCCTTCCATCACTCCATCCATTGCTCCATCCATCCATAAATCAGTCTCCATCCATGGCTGCATCCCTCGCTCCATCCATGACGGTACGCCTCACTCCATCCATTGCTCCATCAGTCACCCTCTCCATCCATCCATCCATCCATCCATCCATCCATCCGTCAATCACAAACTAATCACTCAATCCATCCATTCTCTCAATCTCACTGCATTCATCCCTCAATCACTGCATCCATCCGTCCTTCCATCTCATTAAGGTTTTCACTATCCCCGCCCTGCCTGTGATATACGAGCATCTCATTGTTTGCGGTGTGTCAACGACAACGTTTTCGAGCTAGGAGGAGAAGATGGAGGAGGACCCAACCATCTTGGTTGTAAGAAGATTAAGGAAGAATAAGGAAAGAGAGCATCAAAGAAGAAGAAAGAATGTTCTTCAGAACATCTTGTTAAGAAAAAGGCTGAGGCTATAACCGAGAAAGGAAGGGTGACATGTACACGCAAGACAGAACATCTTGTTAAGAAAAAGGCTGAGGCTATAACCGAGAAAGGAAGGGTGACATGTACACGCAAGACAATTCATCACAAGCTCTGGCGTTAGCTCAGTTGGTACACCAATGAGCTCAGTTGCTTTCAGGCCCAGCAAAACAGTAGATTTTGTTAACATCGGGTTTAAACCCCTAGTTACCTTGCCAAGTGGGAAAAAGGGGGGGCCTCGGCTGGGCCACGAACTGTTTGGGAGGAAACGACGGACGCTGATGAGCTTTGGCAATTGCAGCCGGCCAGCACCCAACGCTTCGGGAACAGCCCGTTTCCCCTAATTTCCCAACACACTTGGCACGCACTTCTTGTCTTTGCTAGGAGAAGAGGTGGTACGAGCCTCCCTCCTAGCAAGAGTCCTGGATGCTATTTATCTAGTATTTTACTTTTTTTTTTTTTTTTTTAAGAAGATCACTACCTTGTAGTGGTCTGATGCCCGTGCACTCTTCCATTATTCCTGGAAACGGGGTCTCTAATTTATTTTTTTTCGTCTTTATTTGTGCCTTCCGTATTTTTTTTTTTTCTGTGGCTCTCTAATTTTTTTTTTTTTCGTCTTTTTTTGTGCCTTCCCTATTTTTTTTCTGTGGCCAAAAAGTCTGTCCTATTTTTTCTGTGGCCAAAACGTCTGTACATTGTAATGCACCTGTGGGCACACGTCACACTGCTTTCACACGGATTTTAGGCACCAGCCTACCCCCGTGTTCGTGGGAGGGACCATTCCCTCCTGTGGTCGTTCTGACCATGGCTGTGATCGCCCTGTCAAAAGACATTTTCATGCCAAGTGATAAAACTGGATCTCATGAAAAGGCACAGAAAGAGGACACACACTACAAAACACATGGCACATATGCGGACAAAGGTGGCCAACCCTTGCATCTTTCTACTATAATACTGTCCATCTATACTTTGTTTGTTTTGTGAATGGTTTGCGATGATTTGTGGATGGAAAAAGGGTCACTGTTCCACAGTATGGAAAAGGTTTTTTTTTTTTTTTTTTTTTTTTTTTTTTTTTTTTTTTTTTTTTTTTTTTTT